TATATGTGTGTGTGTGTGTGTGTGTGTGTGTATACATACTCCATGCCATCGGTGGATACGCATTTCCGTATGAATGTGCACGTGCCAAGGTGGATACAAATCTGAGAGCATAGATATATGGTCAAAGGATATGGGATGTGCGCACAATATAATACACAAGTACGTATCTGATAGTATAGATATATGTCCATGTAATTATAGATATATGTTTTCGTTACTAAATACATCTCTTAATTGTGTCGGTACTTAAAAATTCATTGCATTGAATGTAGAGGCGCAAGGAGTATGCAACAATATGCCTGCATCGTTGTTCGTATGTAACGAGCAACAATACCCTCCATTGAACGTACGACTACTCACAGTCTCGCACGCTATATTGAGAACAGAAACATTACTACATATCGTAGATGTCAACCCACAACTAGAAGCACACATGTAATGCATTCCTGTTGTAGTCAACACCTGAGTTCGTTCGGAGGGCCTTATGGTACCTGATAGCCGCAGCAGCCTCCGACTACAGACCACGTACTTAACCGGGTGATAAGCGGTTAACATACCTTATTTGCAGCCTGTACTTCATGCAGTTTCTTTAATTCCTCAACGTCTTTCTCGTGTCTAGCTCTCATATCTAAAATGCATTGCCTCTGGTGTTGAGAGAATGAAAAGGACGGTTGTGGTTTATCGCAAACCTGACATTTGATGTCGTTTAGCTTAGGAGCCGATGACCCCATGCTCTTCATATACTTGCTCATTGTGCCGTTTATGTGCTTTCGATCACGTACCAACTGAAGTTCTGTGTAACGCTATGTAGTCGATCCGACTTTGTGTGTGTAGTACTTTACACCCAGCTGTGGTATGTATATACATATGCGGCGAATTAATATATTTTTAATCCAATGTAATCAATCGTAAGCCCTGACAGCCCCTGAGGCCCTGAACTAAGAACTTCAACTAAAAGTCCTGAAACCGAGGCCACGGCCGTCATGTCCAAAAAAGGAGCTTTTTTCCGGCCTCTCTCTCAGTGTCGCTGGTCTCCAGTCCCAGTCCCAGTCTCAGACTTCAGAAGTTCAGTCTCTCACTCTCTCTATTTAATTTTACATAAATATCATCCAGACATACACTCTCTAGGCATCAGCCATCCTCTCTCTATGACTATGAGATTTGTCATTTTTTTAATTTGAGAGCGAGAGAGAGCTCTACTACACTATTTGTACATAAATACGACTAAATAAATAGTACCAGAGTAAGAGTATTTACTATTTTATGTAGGCTGTTTGATTTGATTGATTGATTGATTTCAGTGTGTTCACTCTGTTAGTGTTCAAGTATTCACAACTTCACACTTCAGAAGAGATTTCAGATTTGGCGATTTGCAGAACTTCATAGCCTTCTAAAAAAAACAAGAACTTAGAAGTTAGAACTCTGAACTTTTTCAAAAATAGGGCTTTTTTGCTCTGTGTATTTATCTCTAAAAAAATTAAAAGGGACCAATCACAGTCTTCTGAAAATTGGATAAGAAAGCTATGGCCCAATAAATGAAAGTATTTAGTACCTAAATATGACTAGTCTTTCAAAACGTGTACATGTATTTGTTCAAATCATAAGGCGGCCCAGCCTCAGGAAGTACCGAACTATATTCAAATCCTCGCCTAGCGAGATTGACTTGATAAAGTGATGGCACACTATTACTGAACTACTTCCATACTCAGCACATATCTTCCATACTCAGCACATATCTTCCATTGTCGACTCACTTGGCCCAAGCTTCAAACGGGAATTTACTGACCACTTCTTCCCATCAATCTTTCCTGAACCACCACAGCGACTATGAGAGCCATACCATATGTTCATACATTGTATCATACATATTTGCCATTTTTGAAATATATAATATTATCCCTACAATGCCGCATACCAAAAATAATGTCAGTATCCGCGTTCTGCTATATAAGTACGACACAGTATACTAGTAGGTCCCTCCTTTTGGTTTCATAGGAGTGACCTATATCATACTGACAATTCAAAGGAGAAAGTTAGGGATAATAATAATTATTTCAAAAAAAGATAAGTTACAAGGTATATATGTTATAATGTATGAACATATGGTCTGGCTCTCATAGCCGTTGTAGTGGTTCGGGAAAGATTGATGGGAAGAAGTGGTCGGAATTTCTTGGGCCAAGTGAGTCGACGATGGAGGATATGCGCTGAGTCAATTCGGGCCGGTGCTGACAAAACACTGATACCATCGAATGTGCCATGTATTCGTCTGTGGTACGGAACGGGTCTGCGCCGTTTAGTGTCGTGGAATGGGTTGCTGCAGAGTACGAAATGCCGCATAGGACCAGGTTATCCGTCATAATTCGGTCGAGGAGCGAGGATAGGGGTGAGCCAATGCCGCACTAAACCACGGATGCATTCGGTATGTGCAGGCTGGCCTGGATCGGAAGTATCATGGGCGGGACGAACAAGCGCGATGATTTGGTTTGAACCGATATTTGGAAGTAGTACTTCTAGAGCGTGATTAGCCGGGGTATGGGGAGCATCTGTTGATGTGTCAGAGACGGGTGAGGGTACAGTGGTTCTTCTACATGCTGGAGAAAAGATACAAGGTGTTCGTGGAGGGTCCAGATACCGTGGAAGTCGTGGCACTTCTGTAATTGCTGAAGGAAGTCGGGGCCAATGGGCGGCAGTTTTGGACCTACCAGGATGCGTCGAATCAGTTGTTGGATGCAGGTAAAGTGGCTGGTAGTGAACTTGTGGCTACCGGGGCAGACAGGGCAGAGACAGCCGTCGGTGCGGTAGTCGAGCAATGTGAACATGTACGTATTCGTTACAATCATAGCACAGAGCCGGATTGGTGTAGGCTCGAGGCAACGGTTGAAGCTGTCGTGTCTGGCTTTGTCTCGGTTTGAGGTTAGCGGTTTGCCCATAACTAGCTGGTAGTAGTATTGGCGCCGGAGCATTGCCGCGATCTCCTTGTTGGACCAGCGTTTTGTCTAGTTCTTCCTGATGTCGTCACATCGTTGGCGAAGGGCTACATGGTTGGGTGTACGCCCGCCCGTGATTTTGTGTGCAGTTTTCAGGTGAGCATAAATACTGTACGTAAAGCGCAGTGATGGTTTGTCGTGGGCCCAGGTAGGCTGCAACAGAGGGGTGAGTGGATTTGTACTGGCCATTGAGTCAAGTTGTATTCCCAGGCAACCTCCGAGGTAGTCCGCGAATGGTCGCGCGGGGAGCAGACCACAAAAGTGGAGTACGTTTGTGTGAAAACCCGAGGGTATTTAGTGCCCGTGATGATGGCTGCTGCTTGGATGAGTGCTGAGTTAAAGCGCTCGAACAGGGGATCCAACGCATCCTTCCATATGGGCGGAGCCCAGGCAATGATGTTTAGGCCATATGTAGCCGTGGAAAGGATGGATGTTTTGAACAGCACCAGTCGGTTGCGGGGGTGTTGCCAGCTGAAGCCATGGAAGCCATAAGCGCGGAAAGAGACGATACCCAGAGACAATGCTGCAACCAGGGATTCCATATGTCTGGCGAGGTTGATCTCTGGTATTCCGTGAGAGAGTGGGGACCACGGATATGTGGAGTGTTTCGGTTAGGCATGTGTGGGCGCCATCTTCAGGGGGAGGTAATGTGTGTTCCAAGGTGCGTCTGCAAGCGTCGGCGTGATAAGCTCACCATTTATCCGGAGAATTGGCACCGCGTGTCGCAAGTCGGTAGATCGTACTCGGGGTTTAAAGACATCCTGTTCGAGGCCAGATTTGCTTCCCCACGCATCAATGTCATCAAAGAAGGGCTGGAGCGGAACCGATTGAGGGGCTTGGATCCGTGTGTTATCTACAAATAAATAAGAGCGGAGGAGCTTGGGCCGAAATTGTGCTAGCGTGACAGCTAAGAAATTCATGTAGATAATAAAGAGCTGGGGGCCGACGATTGAGCCTTGTTGGATACCATTCGTTCTATGAAATAGAGGCGAGAGCGTGCAGCGGTATGTCACTCGGGTAGGGACCCTCTCAAATAGCGCGCGGAGAGGCAGTTGATCCAGTTTTCACGCATTCCAGCGTGGCGCAGGCGTGGGAGAGCAACCTTGTCGTATGCCTTAGTAATGTCCAAACAGACGTCGTTCCACTCCTCTTCTGACTGTAATAAGCCAGTTAATATCGCCTTGAGAGACCGAATCTTACATGACTGTGTTTCAGATTCCATGGCGGCAAGTGCCTGGGTATGACAGGAGTACCGTGATTTTGTAATAAGCTGGGCCTCCACATTAGACTCTATGTTATAAACGTACTCTTAAGCAATACGTAAATTATAAACGTACTCTTAATAGTACGAGTAAATTAAGTTTCCTAAATGTACTCTTAATAGTACGAGGAACTTAAGTTTTATAAATATACTCTTAATAGCACGAGGAACTTAAGTTTCCTAAAATGGTTTTTAATAGTTTTATTAATTAAACCTTTTCCACTTAACATATCAGATATTTGGATGAGGCCATTAAAAGGCCTCAGTAAAATACCAAACATAAAAGAGTTGGTCTAGTTCTATTAATAGAGCTTTATTTACTTTCCAACTTTATTTATATTTGAATACTTCGGTAGCGAGATGGCTCAACCGAATATAGATTTCTAGGGACTATTAACGTTACCTAGTTGATCCTCCGATAAGCCAACCAGATGTGCCAGTCTGATGAAGGCTAAGTCGGTAATTCTTGATAGTGGCAAGTTGTTGGTTAAGACAATAACTAAGGACGTCAAGAGTATTTTTCTTTTTTTTTTTTCTAAAGATAGG